GATCATTGCTGATATTAGCCTTCCGAGTTCAAGAAGAAATTTTGAATTGCTGCTAGAGAAGGCTGTTATGGTGGTTTAAAAGGAACAAGTATGTCATTACTCTGCTACTGAGGAAAGGAGGAAGGAGATACTGGAATGTAAATGACATAAATTCAGTAATTCAGTTTTAACTAAAAAACTGGGAATTTGTTGAGTTCAGAAATGGAATGTAAAGGAAAACTCTAGGAGTGGGCTTCAGGCGTGGCTGAATCCAGGGCCTCAGTGATGTCTTCAGTGATAGGTTCCACCCATCCCTCAGCTCTGTGTTTCTTGGCGTGGCCTTTATTTTCTCCACTTGGTGCTAGGAATGGCCTCCAATGTCCTCTTTACTGTGAGAGATACTGGAAAAAGGAGAGAGCTTCTCTGGTAGTTCCATCAAAATCCAGAGATGACTCTGGTTGGTCAGTCTGTGTCACATGTCCATTTTTTTGGTCAGGGACCTGGGAGCATGTGATTGACAACCTCTCCAAGTATGAAGATAATCTGTTCCCGAAAGAAATGGGTACTGGGGGGAAAAGGCAACAGATGTCCACCACAGTACAGTTTTTCATTTTGCTGCTTATTATTTTTTCTTAGAGTCCCTCAGAACTGGACAGCAGAGACTACAAAGGACTTGGGACCCTTTCTAGTACTCTTCTCAGCAGATGAATTAAACTCTGTTGCCACAAAGGTACCTCTGTGCCCCATCTTAAGAAGGCTGAAGGAGTCTGGAGTGGGGAAAAGTGTGGTCAGTTATACCCCATTGGGTTTGCTGCTAGTCTGTGATTCTGGAAGCTTCCTCCCTGCCTCAAAGGGCTTAGATGTTTCCAGCTTTACTCCAGTTTGCCTAAGGTTCAGAAAAAGGGAGTGAGGACAGCTAAATGGACTCTGGGCCTTTCGCATGGCCCTCCCGGCAGGTGCGTGCAGCCTGGGAGGTGTCACTTGTCATCTGTGTGCATCTCACACTTATGCCCGTTAAAGCTCTCACACCCACCAGTGCCATATGCACATGCTCATGTATGTCCAGTGTGTGCAGTCACATGTGCAAACATGTTTAACCCACAAACAAATCTTTTCTGAGCATCAGCGTTGGGCACAACACTCCACATGGAGTAACTCTCCACGAGTTAGTCTAGACCAAGACACATGCAAACAATCACAAATTAGTCATCCTTTGCTGCGTAAGAAAGCCGTGCAATCTCACCGGCATATAAGAAGTATTTACTTCTTGCTGATGGTTCTAAGGGTCACTGGGGCAGCCCTGCTCCATAAGCCTGTCTCTGGGGCCCAGACTATCTGAAGCTTGTTCTTTTCCCTGTGAAGGTCTGAATCTCCAGAACAGGAAGTGGAAAAGAACAGTTGTCCTTAAGGCCTAGGCTGGAACATGGACACTGTCTCTCCTGCCACATTCCAATGGAGAAAGCAAGTTACATGACTGAGCGCAACTTTAGCAGGCAGGAAGTAGTCTCCCTCCATGGAGGTGGAGGGTGGGGAAGGAGTGAATGTTTGCCGATCGATAATCAGACCCGCCACAAAGCACATCCACATACTCTCATACGTGTTCTTGCATGCTCCAGGTGCACATTGTCACGCACGCCCCTCAGGGCCTGCACACAGCATATCACCTGGGTCACACACACACAGCACACATTCTAGAGTCCAGTCATAGTAAAACCATCTTGTAGGTGTCCCAACATATAGTCATAAGCAGTCAATGCATGAATATTTTACACTGATTGAATCTTTTTTAAAAAATCAGCTTCTCGGGCCGGCCCGGTGGCGCACTGGAGAGTGCGCTGCTTGAGAGTGTGGAGGTGCTCCCACCGAGGGTTCGGATCCCATGTGGAGACCGGTTCCCGCTCACTGGCTGAGCCCGGTGCGGGCGCAACACCAAGGGTTGCGATTCCGTTGCCGGTCCCCGGTACGGGCGCGACACCGAGGGTTGCGATCCCGTTACCGGTCAGTAAAAAAAAAGACAAAAAGGAAAAAAAAAATCAGCTTCTGAAATTGAAAAAGTCTCATATCAACATGGCGAAATCTCAAGAATACAGTGTAGAGCTTGAAAAAACCTGAGGAGAGAAAGAATATGTATAGCAGGTTACTAAGTACGTACATAAATACTAGCTAAATTAGTTTTAAGCACATGCAAAACAAGCCTATATGCAAGAGAAGTTTAAACGTTTATATGAGAGTGGTTAATACCAAATTCAGGGTGACAGTGACTTCTGGGGAAGGGGGAATGTAAAAGGTGAGGGAGGGGCCTATCAGTTATATTTGTGATGTTTTATTTCTTAAGCTGGGTTGTGGGTACATGGGTGTTTTGTTCTATTATTCTCCATACTGTTTTTTCTTAATATTGGAAATGTTTAATCAAACAAGTAATATATTCTTGTGGTTAAAAAATCCCAACTGTTCCAAAGACCATAGAATGAAAAGCAAGTTTCCCTCCCTCCCTAGACTTGAGGTTCCTCAGTTTCTTCTCCCCCTAAGATGCAATCACCTTTTCAGAAAAATCCTACCCAAGCATACACACACTTTCCCTTTTTAAAATAAAAAATGGAAAATACATCACTCTGCTATGTGCTTTGCATTTTTAAAAGTGAACTGTCTTAGAGCAGTGACTCTCAGCCTCTGGTGCACATTAGAATCATCTGGGGAGATTTTAAAGATGGACCGATCCGTGATCCCCACCCCAGACCATCTGACTCAGAATTCTGGGGGTGCGACTTGTGTGTCTGTAGAATTCCCAGGTGATTCTTACACACAGCCAGGGCTGAGAACTGCCAGCTTAGACTGACTGATTCTGAAGGTTAGAATTGATAGAGGAACTGTATAAGCCGAGGTGCTTTCTCTTTGGGTGAGCTGGGACACAGGGACACATAGCTGTGTGGAGAGCTTGATGAATTCTCTGGGCTGGTGGAAAGATCTCCCAATAATATCCCAAGTCTTGACAAAGTGCGTTAGTTCTAGATGAGAAATGACACCTTCTCCAGGGCAACCCAAAGCCCCCTCATTGCTAGACTTTACCCACAATCCAGTGATAACCCTTCTCCCTCACATTTTTATGACAAATATAAAGTTTAATAAGAAATTTAAAATAGCTGCAAACTAACAAGGGGCAGGCACAGCTACATTTTTTGTAGGTGTGAGTGCTATCAGGTTGCCCTGGGAATGATGCGCCATTTAACAGTCTCACAGAAAAATGAGCGTTCACATCTCCTACATCTTGGCTGGCATTAAGTATTATGGCTTTATTTTAGTTTTGACAATCTGATGGGTTAAAAAGTGATGTATATTTATGGTATTTATCATTTTTTGGATTATTATTGAGGTAGAGTATCATTTTATAGGGGTCTTTGTAGAGACCAGGTTAGTTCAGCTAGGGATTAAATTTATAAGAGAAGCGACCATAAAGAAAAAAACAAACAAACTTAGGCACTAAGTAGTGTTACAATTTAAACTCTGATTTAAATCTCTGTTTAAAGTGA